CTGCAAACTATCACCTCTTGACAACCACCTTACCTCGGTGTGCAAAAGTAATTGGTTGAAAGTGTCATCATTTTCTTCACATAACTTCGCAAACAGTCTGGAATTGAGAGGATGAGCTTTAATTTTATTTATTGACCTGATGCACACTTTTAGAGTATCATGAAGTTCGCCACTCAGTTTTTTGGCTACAAGATGCTGCCTGTGTAGGACACAGTGAACAGTATGTACTTTGGGAACCTTTTTCTTCAGAAAGACGAAAAATCCTCTGTAACGGCCTACCATAGCAGGTGCACCGTCAGTAGCTACTGCGGTAATATTCCCGAAAGGAATGTTGTGCTTGTTCAAATAATCTTGCAAACATAAAAAAATTGTCTCACCTTTTGAATCAGTTTCAAGATATTTAGCAAATAGAAATTCATCAACAGTGTCATTCAGGGATGGACTATGAAATCTAACATAAGCCATGAGAAGATTTGAACTTCCGAAAGTTGATTCGTCAAGTTGAATAGCAAACTTACAATGCTGGAGCTCAGAGGTCAAAGTTCTTTCCACATCATCGGCCATTTCCTCGATACGTCGTTGCACAGTATTGGCACTTAATGGTATGCATTTTAAAACTAGTTGGGAGTCTTTCTTCATAACATTTTCAATTACATCTTTTATAGCTGGTATTATAATCTCTTCACCAATAGTATACGGTTTGCCTTTCTTTGCAATATTAAGAGAGATGCTGTAGGATGTCTTCAGTCCTCCTTCTCTATCAACACTAGCGGATGACTTCAAATATGTATTCAAATTTGGCCGAACTCTCAATTTCTCTTTTAGTATTTTGAAATACTCAAAATCTTTGTTTTTCTTGTCAGAATGGATCCTTTCCAAGTGGTCTTTCATTTTCGCCGGCTTCATAGCATCATTGCTGAAAGTTTTTTCACATAATAAGCACATAGGAATAGTTTCATTAGCAAACGATGGCACAAAACCATATTTCAAATACTCCTGTGAATATTGTCTGCATTTCTTAGCATTGGTAGTCGACATTGCGGGTATTAAAATCAGATTTTTAATATGAAAAACACAATACGTTTGCAGCACAACAAAACAGCAGTAGTAAGAGACACAACTTACTCCAGCACAAGCTATAAAGAACTGCCTGTTTATTCTAAGAGTGCAGGGTTGGCATCTTTTGCTAAGAATAGATATTTAGAATTGGAAGGAATTATAATTATTCTAAACTATTAAACTAAAGATATTAATAAAAGTACGTGATTTTTTTCATATAAACATAATGATAATTTGATTTTTTGGTGAATTTTTTAAATAATATCGCCTGACTGACCTATATTGCTGTTGGGCAGTTTACAAAATAAACGTAAATAAGATGGTGGTAGTAAAGGGATAATGATTTTCGATTTATTACAATATTTTTTTTGTAAAGGACAAAATATCTACATTTAGATATAAAATACTTAGTAACAACCCTAGTACAGTGTAACAGTGCAACGCATATCTGTGTATAATGAACTACCAGCGTTCATAACATGTTTGCAACACTAGTACAGTTGCCAGATGTGTGAAAACAGAGTAACACATGCTTAAAGCGGCAAAGGCTAAGGAAAATCTCAAGTTATAACTAGGGTAGTCAGTAATGTTGATCATATCCATATTTCGAATTTTTATTGGAATATTCTATTTTTTCCCTAGACAGTTTAATTGATCCCCTTTGGTATTAATCGACCCCCTTTCAACCCTCGTGTATTAAGCGACCCCTGGGGACCTTCTTATCGACCACTTTGGGGACCCCTGTCTTAGATTAAACATTAAACATCCTGTATTGTATGTATTCGATAATACTTTTATGAAATTTAAAATCAAATTGCACATTCAGTATGTTAATATGTATTTTTAAAAGAATTACAATAGAAGAATCAAGTTGGTAATGCAGTTTTATTCAATAACAACTTTTGAATGCTTGACGTATGCTAATTACAAAAATTTAAATTACACCAAATAAAAGACGGTAACGTCAAACGTAATACAAGAACATATAAATGTTAAAAGAACAAAGGAGACATTTCTTTAACAGGGAGACAAGCATTCGTAAAAATTAAAATATTCGTATTTACAAATCTAATTTATTCATTTTGCATATTTGATAACATTATATTTTTATATTTATGCTTATCTTATGCAATAATTTAATTAAGCAATAGAAAATATTTGTGGTTTGATTTGTAACTCGATTACAGAAACAACAGAAAATTTGTTCGTTAAATCTCTAAATTTCGTAAAATTCAGAATGAATTTATGCACTTTTTTTGTTGTTTCTTTTGTTAAAATATAACAACGATGAGTCATTAAACATTTTATGTGGCAAATTTATATATATTTTTCTCCTCTTAAAATGGCAACATTAACTATTTATACATTTATAAATATATAAAAAGTATAAATAATGCAATTTTATATTTATTAAAATTAATTTTAATAAAAAGCGATCGAGTTTGTTTGCTAAATTTGTTTTAGATTGTCGAATGCAGCAACATGAACTGATGAACATACAATATTTTAAATTAAAAACGGAATAATAAATTATCACAGAGTTGCTAACGAATTGGCTAGAAAAAAGTTGTATGATATGTTTTTTAATATTGTGCTTTTTTGAAATGAAAATTACTAAAAAAAAATAAAATAATTTGATTTTTTGTTGAATATGCAAAACACTTCTCTAAATTATATGTAAATATATACATATGTGAGTAGGTAACTGCGTGGAATGCATTTTAAAAGATGTAAATCTAGACGATGTGTGTGGTTTGTATGTAAATGAAATCGGTGGCTCGAAAGATCTAAACCATTTAACTATTACTTTATGAAGGACGGAATTTCGGAACAGGTTTGATCGAGTGTGCATCATAAACGAATGAATGTTGATTAAACTGCCATTAATACTTTTTCTCTGCAGTGGGGCAAAGTGAACAAAACAGTTTAAAGTTCTTCTATTTTGGTGTGTTTTTAAATATCTCTAATAAATTATTAAAGCTAATTGTGTGCAGTTTATTTTTTCCTTTTGATATTTTTGCATACCCAATCCAATCCTTCCTGCAAATTATTATATTATTTGATTAGTGGAAGAAAATTTAATGGTATAAATTAAATTTGATACGGCGGATGCTTACCTTTAGTCCTTCTCCGTTAATGGCCGAACAGGCTTGTATTTGCCAAGCTCTGTCTCTTATTGCAGGTAGGTTCAATCCTTCTGCTAGTTCGCTGGCGGCCGCAGAGTTGAACAGGTCTTGTTTGTTTGCAAAGACAAGAAGAGGAACTCCAACTAATTTCTCTTCGGCCAGTAATTCGCCTAATTCCTTTCATAGGAAATGTTTTTAAAGAATTTTGTTGTTGTTTATCAATAAAGAATTATGATATTGTTAATAAATGACACATACCACTCCTGTTTCCTCAAATCTCTTTCTGTCTGCACTATCGATTACGTAGATCTAATCAATAAAGGCATTCGATATAATTTTTATTGGTGCTACAGAATACAAATTATAAAAATGAAGGAATTTGTGAATGTTTTCTTACTAGCACGTCTGTGTTTTCAAAATAATTACGCCAATACGGCCGAATCTTTCTTTGACCTCCAATATCCCAGACGTTTAACTTGAATCCTTCGGACTGTACACTTTTGATATTAAATCCCTAAAATTAAAGAAATAAGAGTATTATAAATAACTTATCTAATTAGAATAAAATTAATGAATCATTGAATGTGATATTTAATATTAAATATAAGTATACTAGCAGATGAGCCTGGTGTTGCTCAGGCAAAAAATAACAGCAGCAAAGATTAAGATTATTAAATTATTTCATACTTCTAACTTTTCTATTATATTATAGTATTTGATTTATATTTATGAAGGTTATCTTATGTAAGAGTTTATCACACTGAGTGCTCAATCAAACACATTTTAAAAATTCTTTAAATTGTGTACAGGAGAGGAATAAAATTTTTAAAATGTGGTGTTTGGTGTGATAAACCTTTAAGTAAGATAACTTTTGTAGTTATATAAATCAAATATTACAATATAATAAACATTAAAATGAAAACCATATAAAGAATTAATTAGGTTTCCTTTACTAGTTTTTGTAGACTTTAAAGAATTAAAAGCTAGTGTCTTTCTTTCTTCAGTAATGTATCACACAAGGAGCAGTTGTTTATGTAGTTTTTTATTAAAGGAAATGCATTTCGGATCTTAATGACCACTCTTCAGTCCTTAGACTTTACAAAAAATATCCCATAAGGACTGGAGAGGGTCATTAAGACCCAAAATGCATTTCCTTTAATAAAAAACTACATAAACAACTGCTCCTTGTGTGATACATTACTGAAGAAAGCCATTAGCTTTTAATTCTTTACAGTCTACCATATAAAGAGTTTGGTTATTTCAGTCTACCACTGTCACATTTATCACAATCTCAGATGTTATGAAATGGCACAAATTGTCAAGCAGACAGGAATTGAAAATATATCTTAAAATTTTTCAAATATCATAATATTTTCTAATGTTAAATCTAAGAAACTGTACCATTCACAGCTGAATATCAAATGAAAAAACTGCCAACCAATCAAATTTCAGAAAAAAACGGAACAAACATTTAAACTCGACCACTTAAATCATACTTTATGCTCGCCGGTAACCTTGTATTATGTAGTTTTTCTATTTGAATGCCACCATACCACTGGCCCAACAGAAAGAAGGGAATGTTGTTGAAGGGAATTGAAGTAATTTGGCCAAAAGTAGTTGTCAATCTCCTCCTGGAAGAGAAGACTGTCAACGACTATAATTAATACCGGTCTACTATTAATATTTGAAAAGTGATCTCTGTTAAGACAGGTTGCAATGGCCCTACATGTAATCGAAGTTGCTAACCTTACTGTCTGAAACAGTTTATATAAAACTTGTTTAAATAAAAATATCTTGTAAAAATGCTAGAATAATTCCTTTTATGTGATGATAAAGTGTTTAAATTTTGGCAACATATTGTATAACCTACATGAGAAGTATGTTCTCGTAAATATTGCATTTATAAAAAAAATCACTGAGCTGCAGTTTGAAAGAATTGTAGACCTATAAATTCCAACTGTCATCTTCTGTCTATCCTTCCTTAATCTCAAGGAGTTAGATGAAAGTTGAGACAAGATGTGGGAAGCTTAGGGACAGGAGGATGAGATTAACTATATATGAACTTCTGGTTTAGAATGTAAGTAACATTACTTCAATTCAAAATTTTCCCCCAAAGTTAGGTAGATGACTGACATGACTATTGCTAACAGGAAAAGTATGATGTACAGTACAAGGGCAAAACACTACTACACTCCACACAGGCAAGTGCTACCTGTTGCAGTAATTTGGTGAATATAATATATATGTATATATATATTTTTGNTATTACTGGCTAAAATCAGACATTTGAACTTGTCAAGTTTCTAGTATTTCTTTTCTCTCTATGAAATGCTTCTCAGTATTGACAAAAAAATTTATATTTTTCAATAAAAGTAAAGTTTTTCAGTTTGTTTTAATAATAATAATAAACATTTTATATTTTATTATTATTATTAGATAAAAAAAATACATTTTTAATGTTTGAGTAAATACTTTCTAATGTATATGAATAAGTGTCACATTTTCAATGGCCATTTTGGAAATGTGACAAACACTGATATGAGTTATGAAAATCTTTATTTCAGTTCTAGTAATTTTTGTAGGCTATATAACTGATGCCAGTTATATGTATAAAATCATGATAACTGAATTGAAAAACTTTATGAAAAAGTAGTAGTACATTTTACATCAGTTTCCCATTGAATCTGAATTTATGGAAAATAGAATTAATGTTTAATGAATTAAATTCACATATACCCAAACTTTAAAACAATAGACAAATTAATTATGACAATCTGTATAATACTATATACTATACAGAAAAATTACAAAAGTAACCAGTTTAATAAAAAAAATGTCTAAAAATTTAATAACTACATTCTATATTCCACAGTAATAAATGTTTGAAATGAGAATTACAGATAAAGCCAAAGCAAATGTTTTGTATAAATTATCTAAAACTTACATGTTAATAGGTTTCCAAGAAGAACCAAATATATTAATAGATTTTGAAAAAATATCATTATAAATAAGGCCAGTATAAACTGAAAATATTCCCATCAATAAGATGATATATCTCCCATTAAAGAATGTGTTCCATATCTGAAAAATAAAATGAAATGTTTTATTAAAAAATCTTAAGAAAAACAAATGATATTTCAAAGTTTCAGATCTCTTACATTTTTCAGAGAAAAGTAACCATTTGTAATGGTTTAGATTTTTGTTTTCTTTCATTAGTAATTTTGGAATATGGTCGAATAGATGCAATGATACTGTTTTTTACATTTACACTTTGCTCCCAACCATTGTCTAACTCACAAAGTTCATTCGTCAAACTTTCCATAGTTGAAAGGATACACTAACCCGAAATAGAGCTACGGACGAGCGGAGATGCTGATTGTATTGATCGACCGCCGGCTGCCGTAGCTGGCAGTTGACCAATATAAGGCCAGTTTGGGTGGAAAAATTGAAGTTGGTTTCGTCTCGCTAAGGAGAGTTAGATATCGTCTGGCCAACGAGAAGTAGATTTTGTTTCATTAAAGATAATTTGTGATCGCCATAAGTGCTACTGCGTCGTAAGGTGTTTTCCTGAATGAACTGATATGGGATATGAACTATTCGCATTCATTAGTGCTCTGGATTTGGATGACATTTACTGGACTATTAAGTTTAATAACTTGACTTGTGAGAACCTAAACATTTAGTATTTTAATATTAATTTAATGCAAATGTATACATACCCAATAATATTAAACAAAAATATAAATATATTCAATAAAAATCTTTGTTTTAACGAATGTACAATGTCGCGGCTCAGTAAATATGTCAACACTGAAACAAAAATCAGTCTGGCATAGGGAAAAACCAGGGAATTACACTGCAAAATGGCGAATTGTGCAACGGCATTATTGTGAATCAGCACAAGTTGAGCCGGCGTAAACCGAGGGCTACCTGAATTTAGTTAATTATTTTGTTATTTTTTTTTAATAAATGGCTTTACATGTAAAGCTAGCAATCAAATGTAGACAGAAATTAATTGAAATATAGAAATCCAATAAAATTGAAGACAAAACTGTCCAAAAAGGATCACCATTTATTTTTTTGTGTTCCAAGACTAACACATTTTCAGCGACTGACCTTTCTTTGTAGGCTGCTTGTTGCCTATAAAGAAAGACTGAAAGAAATTTACAAAGACTACAAAGAAATTTACAAAGAGTCCTTTTTAAAATGACTCTTTGTAAATTTCCGGCGACAAGCAGCCTACAAAGAAAGGTCAGTCGCCGAAAATGTGTTAGTCTTGGAACACAAAAAATAAATGGTGATCCTTTTTGGATAGTTTTGTCTTCAATTTTATTAAAAATATTTCTCCATTGGACGAACATTTACAGAATATAGAAATCTAATTAATAATTTGAAGTGGAATGTATGACATGATCTAAGTTAAAAATATTTGAATGTAACTGTCAAGTTTTGTAGCAATTGGTCAAACAGCCTATGCATGTATAGCAAACAAACATACATCCTCATATATATATAATATAATATAATATAATATAAATTTATCATTGGATGATAGTCTAACTGCCTACCTATAGCCAAATTGCTTTACTTCTAATTATTAAATTAGCCTTGTTACAGCTGGATTAATTATCAGGCAATTAATAAAGAAATTGGGTTGATGTATATTTATTATAAATGATTAACTATTATTAATGTTAAATATAATTGTTTTCATTATATTTCTAATNGATAGTAAACTCAACTTACCTGCCTAAACTCTCCGTAGCATGGCGCTGAACGGTGGAAAGTAGTTAGGCTGCTTGTCCGCGATGACGATTTGGCGATGACATTTTACCGCGTTTTATGCATCCCTTTTAGCGTCTTTATACGAATATTGTCGCAATTTTTTTGCCATGTTATAGGAATCTCCGTTATAGGAACCCGCATTATAGGGGGGTCTACTGTATAAATATATACAAACCTGATTGTTAGATTAAAGCTAAACAATTGCTGGATTACAGTGGGCTATAACACTAATGCTATTGACTAGTAATTAAATTTGAAGTAATTTGGCCTAGAGGTAGATGTTTCAGCCAAATTTTTGAAGCATGGGTTGAGTTGTTGCAATGGAGTGTGGCATCACGTTATCTTCCTAGATTAGGAATCCTAAACTTTTTATCCCATCGACCCTTTTATAGAATATTTGCCTTCTTATCGACCCCCAGATTAAGTATTTAACAAAAACATTAAATCATTTTTTGCATTTCTGATGTTAAGCAATAAGGAGACCTGCATGACAACGCAACAAAAGAAGTTCCCATATCTTATAAAATCCACCCAATAACATTAACAGAAAAAGGAGATATTTTCACTGATTTATAATCTTAAAAAATAATAGCAAAATTATGGATAGATGGAAATTTGCCTATAATTCTTAAAATGTACATGTCATAATACGTAAAATGCACAATTATCAAAATGACACTGGATGAAAAAACCTTTTCATCCAGTGTCATTTTGATATGAAAAAACCTCTTACTGTCATTTTGCGACTACTACTGAATGCCTTAAAAAATATGTTAACATACCTTTTTATTAAAATAGTTGATATTACTCGGATGGATGTATCTGAAGAGAAGCAGCAAGATTATTGATATTCGGTTGAAAATTGGTAACTTTTAGTCGCAAATTACCACGGTTTTCCAAGTTCAATCTGTTCATCTGTTTTGTCAAAATTGCGTTCATGTAGCTAAAACCAGCTTCAACCATGTGCGAAGTTGGGAAGGCAAGTAAGAAAGGTTCGGCTTCTGCTCCAAGCTTGGCAATATTGTTATTGCTCCAAAATTCACCGAGGTATTTATTTTTAAACAATGCTTTAGCTTCGAGATCTACACATATTTCACTCAGTTCATCTTCTAAGCTAGGTTCACTACCTTCAATATCTATTTTTACATGCATATTCTCCAAGTCTTTGAAACATGCTTTAAAGTCTTCTCTTAATTTATCAACATGCTTAATATACAGTATATCTCCAAATCACGGTAGGAAATCTTTTCATTTTCTTTTAGTACTCACAAGTAAAATCGGATCGTGCCAGTGAAGATTTAAATAGCTCCATTTTTACTTGAAAGGCCATTATGATTGTTTGAGCTTGAAGAATTGTAAAGTTTTTTTCCTTGCAAACTCTTCTTTACTAATTAATTAAATTGCCTCAATGTCCTTTTTTCCTTATTAATATGTAAATTTTTCGACTATAAATTCGACTTTCATCTATTATCAGGACTTATTATACTGGTTTTACAGATAATATTACAAAGATTAACAGAAAACAATTTTTATTTTATTTCGTATACCTGTACACA